CCTGAGACCGCTATGGCTGACTCAGAGGTATAATAACATAATCATCTTCAAATATTTTCTCATTTACTTCTTTTCTAAAGCAGGACTCGAGAGGTCTGAGCAACCTTTGTCAATGGCTTTATTTGCTGTGCCACTGGTCCCCGTTTTTATGATCAGTCTCTAACATTTAAGTGACATCCTCTGCACCAAGTCACGGCAAACTATTTTCACCCAAAAGGTGGTCAAGGGCTTGTTCGACAAGCCTGCAAAAAAAAAAAAAAGTGCATAATGTCTATTAGTTTGCAAGTCAGAGTAACTCATTATTTTTCAGCATAAAAAATGATAAAAAGCAAGAAGACTGTTCTATTTTAAAATAAAATATTGGTAACGCTTTCATAATAGTATGACATGAAAGTTGGGGATTCCTCATGATGTATGGCAACTTTTTTTTCCTCAGAGTTTTAAAAACTGAGAACTACTCCAAGAGCAGTAGTTCTCTGTTTTTGTGATAAATGAATCTGTCATTCGTTTATGAATGGACAGATTCATATCTGTGAATGGACAGACAGGCCACCACTCCCCCCAGATAAATTCATGGCTGGCACATAAGGGAGGGACTGCTCTCGGGTTTGAATCCCAGCCTGCGGTCTTTCTGTATGTTCTCCCTGTGTGTATCTGGGTTCTCTCCAGGTACTCTGGCTTCCATCCACGGCCCCAAAAACATGGCATGTTACATCCTTTGGCGAGAGCGTTAACATGTTACCCTTTTACCCTTTTATGGGCTGTTCAGGGTGTACCCCTCCTCTGGTCCAATGGCTGCTGGAAACAGGTGACCCTTCACACACAGCAACGGATATAGATGATGGATTGATAATGGTGACGGCACACCTGGCTGGTTTTAGAGTAAATTTCCTGACATGGATTGTCCTTGAAAAGCATATTTTCACCAAACTCAAAGAGCAAACTGGACAAGTTCCATGTGACTAAACAGAATCTTTGGTAATGCATATTTAATAAAAATCAATTTGTTAAATTACAGCTGATGATGTCTTATGACACTGGCACTACTGTTTCTGTCCTTTCAGTTTCAATCAAATTGACTAATATTTTTAAATACCGTTATTCTCTTCCTGCATTGAGGCTCCAGTTCTATGTTGTGTACATAATGTCGTCACTAGTTGCAGTCGCTAAAATTATTTTTTTTATGTTGTGCTGCATGACTGCAGAAGCCCTCCGTTTGGTTCCACTTCATATTTCACATGGAATCCAGATTGAACTTAGTCAATTTGTTCCAATAAAATGCAATCACACAGCATCACCCTGGTCCTGATATCAACTCATCTGTTGTCTATACCAACCTACCTGCAGGGTTGAGGGGACACCCGGTAGTGCATCACAGGATTCAAGCAAAGTCAATTTAAATTGATCCCAATTATTGTGCAGTGCAATTGAAAAATCAGTTGACCACATTGCCAATTCATATTAGGTTATCGAAGGTAGGAAGGAGATTATATCAAGTCAGTGACTATGGAAATCTCTCCTCCTAAAAGTGTGGCAGAACGTTTGCAACTTTAGGCTATTTACTTGCCTGCCTTTTGCTTTTTTTTTTTTTTTTTTACATAATTCTTGACTTCAGACTTACAAAGGAGAACTACAGGTCTGAACACAATTCAGAAGGAAAATGTAAAAAAAAATAAAATAAATTAAATACTTACAAAACTTATCCAATAAACATTTCTTACTTCTCTTAAGTTAGTGAAAACCTAATTATGACAATACAAAAAAAGATATTCACAAGCAACAACAAAAGCTTTTTTTTTTTTTTTTTTTTTAAAAAGTTGTGGTTTTAAAAATTCCAGCCAACACAAAAATTTCCCAAGGGCAGGCAATGA